TTTTTTTTTTTTTTAACCTCAGTGACTCCCATTTTGTGAGATAGTAAGGAAGCCACAAGGTTTCCATCACTATAGTTGCCGATAATTAAATCCGGCACGCCCTGCAGCTCGGCAGCAATTTCACCTGCAGCATCCTGAACAAAAAAACAAGATAATACATATAAATTAAACTTACAAATTAACTAATAACGCTACGAGTTCTTATAACTAAATCAGGGCATGTTCTGTTCTCCGATTAAAAAAAAAAAGGAAAAATTTACTTACCTCTGCAAACTTCTCTAGATATGGCCAAATATCGAACCTCGAAATCCATTTCCGAAGAACTCCGTGCTCGGTTCTAAAAGGAACACGCAGAATGTGTGAATACTCACATCCACTTAACCTCTCCAATCGCTGGTTGCATGATGTGCCGACTGCATCGGGGATTAATCGAGTAACCTAAAAAAACAGAAGGGGAAGACTGAGCTTTTATGAAGAAAAAAAAAACGACAATATAAAACGAACGAAAAGATCAAGTCACTTGAGCATACTATAAGAATACGAGGAGTGATTTGCAGTCCTTGCTTCTTTATCCTTTGCAACATCTCGTGTTCCAAGGCACGAACTTGGTCCAATATATACACAATCTGCACAACAAAAAAGATAGGTCAACCGATGATCATATTTTTCCTTTCCGGATTTTATATTGTATGATTGTATGATATTAGTAAAAGTTGACCATAAACTACAAGAAAATTGATTTTTTTTAATTCTCCTGTGTTTAATTAGGAAATGACTACAAATTTAACCATGGATTGTCTACCCTGCACTAATCTGCTTATGTATCCAAAGGCTAATAATAACCACGAAATCATTATGTAGTGATTCCCGTTTAATTATACTGAAAAGTTACGGGTTTCGGAAAAATGATTACCTGACCGCCAGTATCCGGCAAACCGAGTACATTCGCCTGGCCAAAATATCCGTGCACCGATAATATAACGACATTAAACACCATAGGCAATCGACCAAGAAATGTCTCTAGAGTAGACGGGTCAGGAGCATGAAGAATGTCTGAGAGCAAACGCATCATTTCAAGGACACGTCCGGCTGAGTCTCCCCATCCTCTCTCGAACCCCATCCCTTGCAACCTAAATGCTCACAAAACAATTTGTTACGAAACAATTTATCATAATCCTAAGGCATAAATGTAATAATCACAAAAAGAAAAAAAAAAAAAAAAA